AGCGGTAGAAGACTCCAGCAACACTTAGATCTGCACCAGTAGCAGTTTCTAACGTTCCAACAGTTCTGGCAACCACGACTAGCAGCTTCGACGACCCATTTCGACAAAATACCTCCCATGCGAAGCTCAACAGATCCGGCGACCTCCCACACTTTTATTTTCGAAAGAGGAAAGAAGAAATACTCTTTTATTTTAACAAAATGTTTTCTTCAAAAAGGGTTAATTTTTTTTTAAATAGGGAAAAGAAATTGTTTGGATTTTGAAAAACATTTATGTTTTAAGAGAATATTATCCGACGCTTAATAAGAGAAAGCATTGCGGCCGATGTCAAAATATAAATGCTTTTTTAGTAAAAAAAAAACGAAGTTTTTTTAAAAGAAAAGAAAATCTTTGAAAATAAACGTGTTGAAAATTTTTTAAGGAAATAAAAGATTTTGATATTTAAAATTTGTTTTAAAAAGATTTTTTTTTTAGTAAAATATGAGTTTTTTTAAAAGAAAGTTTTTTTTAATGTTTTAGAAAATGTTTTTTGAAATGCAAAATATATAACAAGTTTTATTTTAAAATAAAAGAGTTTGTTTTTTTTAAATGAAGTCTCTCTTAAAATGAATAAAAGATTTTGTTTAAAATTTTATTTGATTTTCTTAGAAAAATAAATAAAAGATTTAAAAGAAAATAAATTTTGTTTTAAAATAAATGAATTTCAAATTGTAAAATAGTTAAAAAAAAAAGTTGGATTCTTAAAATAAAAGACTTCGTTTCGATAATCTTTAAAATAAATTTTGCAAATAATAATTATTTATTTAAAAGGAATATCAAGTTTACATCTTAGTTGGTAACACAGTGGTAAGAGGCTTGATCGTTGACACCTACAATCCAAGTTCAAATAAAAAAAAAGTGACCAATCACACCTCGTGTATGACGTTGCAACGATAACATACTACTAGATAACTTCATCTTCAAATAAAACTTGATTTGTTTCCTTATCTCCCAATTCCTTGYAAAATGGTAAAATATAAAACAAATATTCATATGACCATCAAATACTGAAAAAAAGTAAACATACCCACATTATAACTACATAAGAAAATTTATTATTTTACATACATTATATTCAACGATGTATGTCAATCATGTACTTTTCTGGTAGTTTTTCGTGTAATATTCTCCCCTGGACAATCATTTGACATGTCTTCGTTCTGATAATCTTTTTAATCATTTCCAGCTTCTCTTTGACTATCATCATTACGATCATTATGACTATCCTTATCACCCTTATTACCTCCGTTACTTTGACTATCATCTCTTATGACAATATTTATATTATCGTTCACCATTTTTTTAATACTATCTACCTCCGAGAATAGTATATCTATCTTGCAATTCATGGTTTCCAAACTCTTTAATACCATTTCTTTAAATTCTTAAAAAAAATGTAGGAATATTATTGATTTCTGTTGATTCAAAATTAGATTACTTACTCTTTGGACGGTCCCCCTCCCTCAAAAATTGATTTTTTCCCTTACTTTGCATATCGTCAACCCTTTAAAACATATTGATGATTCAAGCTGCATAAATTGTACCGAACAATATTATTTATATACATAAAGAAATCATTTTAGAAAAATAAAAAAAGAAGATAAACAATGTAAAACTTACATCTTCATTCTAAAACTTTCATCGTTATATCCCTCTATTTCGGTTTGCATGTTGGCCTCCCAATTCACCATCAAAGGTATACAAGAAGATACGTGTTTTGCAAATGTGGTTTTGTCTAATGAAAGCAATGATATGCACTCATAGGTGCAAATAAACAAAATACTAATGACATTCCAGCTAATCCAACGATCATTGCATCAGGATTTTATATTCCTTTTTTAATAGACTCGACAATTGTGTTAAAGCAAACACGTCCCTATAGATATTTCTCAAACTGTCCATTATCATCCAGGAAGCTTAATGTATTCTATTTCAATTCCTACTGCTCTCTATTTTCCCAACCAGAAATTAACCAACATAAAGAGTTTAGTCATCTTAACTCTATCCTTCTTCACTCGATCAATTCCAATTAAATATACTTATAATATTTTCCCTATTCACAGGAGTTTTTGAGTTTTCGAAATATTTCTACAAAAATATACTACTCAATTTTTTGAAGTCTAAAGAAGGTAGTTCTCCACAAATTAGTTGAGTAATAGTCTAAAATTTTCTTATTTGAAAGTGAACAACCTTCTCCTCAAAGTTAAAATTTATTCCATCTCCCGACGAAGACTACATTGTCTCCTAATCAAATGGCTAAGTAGTTGGCTTGGATATTTTTTAATCTTTACATCCACTAATCTACCAAAACATATATTTCTAGGCTTTCTTTGATGTTTATTTGAAAGTATGTCTTTAATGGCTTTCAAAACTACTAATCTTCCCTATATTTGAAGTTTTTGGCTTCTTGACCACTTGTCCCTCGGGAGTAACAGTGAAGCCTCCTGAATTAATTAGAACTTTAAATAATTATATTCATGCAATATATTTTTAATTAGAATTAAAGTATATATATAATACATTTCTCATACGCTTCTACTATGTTTTGTCCAAAGAATTTGCCCTCTATCACATCTTTTCTTTTTCCTTCATCTCGACGTTAAGATTTAGTAATTATCTGTAATTCAATCAGAACTAGAGTATATATCTATAAAAAAATATTGTTTTACCTCAGAAGTAAAAGATTTTTAGTCTCTATAATCACATTTTCTTTAATAATATTCTCTTCTGGCTTCTTCACTCCCCGTTTTTATGCCTTCTTACACTTTTTTTGTTAAC